GGGTTTAGGGGTTAGGGTTTTTATGGAGGGGGTTTTGGGTTCAGCCAGGGCTGAGGGCAGTTGAGGGTTTTGGGTGACAGAGGCATTTCGGATGTGCATGTTTGGAGGGGGGGGTGGTGTAGGGGATGAGGGGACCGGCTCGAGGGTTCAGGGTCTCAGATTCAGGCGTTAGGACTTTGTGGCGCAGGGAGTGTAGGGCTCATGATCTTCGGATTTCTGAGACTTCCGGGTTGGAGCTCAATATCGAACTGGATTTACGTCCCTTTTCAATGCGTTTACGCCAGCAGGAGCCTGATGCAGAGCTGTGGCTCTAAGGTGACGAACGCAAGTGCAGATGCGAGGTCTCTGGCTCTGCGTCGAGAAACAAAAGAGGGCTGCAGCTTTACAAAGGCAGCCTCAAATGCAGCAGCAGAGTTTCAGCAGGCGCAGCATTGCAACTCATTTGGGCCTGGGCTGCAAAGCGCTGGGACTGGAGACGGTTTCGCGGATGAACGAAGGCGGCTCCAGGTCTGACCATGGCGTCTACATGAGCCCGCAAGGGGTTGACCTTTCGCTTCCTGATTCTATGGCCTTCCGCAAGATGCGAGTGAGGTGCACGTCACCACGAACAACGGTGGCCTTCTTATTCCTGAGATACCTGCTAACCCAGAGATTTAGGGAAGTGGTGGGCTTTCGATCTGTTGGTTGAAGGTAAGAAGCTCTTGCTGACGGTGCTGTTTGTTGGCACTATTCCGTTATTGATAGCTTCGTGCCGTTCGTTGCTAGCACGATCATTGTTGGATTCTGTGTGTCTGTACGTACTATTCCTTGGCCCATGTATTTCTTTGTGCAATTACAGTGTAATTATTGTTTAGCACTCATGGGTTAGGTTTTTTATTCTGTGTTGTTTGCTCCCCTTCCCTCTCTTTCTCTCCTGCTCTCTCGTTGTCTCTTCGCCTCTAGCAAAACAGAAACACATGCATGGTTGCATGTGCACATTCATCATATGAGGGTTCTGACACCTTTGTTCTTGAAATGGCCTTGAACACCGGCACGGACCGTGCAAGGGCCGGTGCAGGCATGCGGAAGAGAGAACCATTAGATATTGCCCACGCTGGAGTGCTTGCTGATGCAAGGTTGTGTAATATAGTGGCCTTATATAATAACTAGTTACCTCTGCTATTTTGGGGGTTCCTTATTATAAGTATAGTATAATGTACCCCAAAACCCTGTTCTAATTATTAAGGCCCCTACTTTCTTCGCTATACTTTTTCATCGCGGGGCAAATGCTTGTATGCACGTCTTACCAGGATCGGGGTCTTGGATTCTTAGAGGTCTAGGTTTCCTGAAGAGTTTCTGAGGTTAGGGTTTCAGGTTTAGGGTTTATAGGGGTCCTCTAAAGGAGGGTATACTAATACTCAAAGGGTCTGGGGTCTTAGCAAGGGGAGGTTCAGCTGACTGTAAGAAGGGCTATAAGTGAGGTAGGTATAGTTGTAAGTGTATAGTTACACTTACACACTACAGACAGATCCAGTTATGCACGTATTCTCTTGCAAGGGCCATTTTACAGTTGGTCTGGTAAGTGAAATAATCAGTGACTCTTTGCCCGTATATGGGAACCGCTACTGTATATGGCTACACGATTATATATCCACCCAAGAACTAGTTCTGACCTTTAATTGTTAAAGCCCGATCGTAGCCAGTATAGCTTCTGATAAGAATCTAGCCTCACTCGCGGGGAGCCCAGTATTCCTTAAGGAAGGAACATCGCTTAAATCATTGTGTATAGTGTGATGTGGGCAAAAACTCTTAAATCGAGGCCTTCTTTAGCCCCTAAGCCCTTCAAAACAGCCCTATGGTCCCATCTCCAACACCTTAAACGATAGAGATCCGAAAACCGCGAAAATCCCTAAAACGCCCGAGCCTTTCATTTTTGATCTCGCATCAGGTTCCAGTTCAGGCTTCCGCCGCGGCAGGGACCAGCGCTTTCATGCAGATGCCTCAGAAGTTTATGAGGTGTCAGACTTGATCTACACGGTACAAAGTAGGGTTTCTACACCAGGAATTACAGAACTTGCTTGTGTAAGGATTCCCCATGTAGGTTCTTCACGCATCTTTTGGCACATGAGGCCTGGGTCCCGGGATATGAAACAGTCTCGGGGGTTGAGGGCTTTAGGGGCCCCGGGTTCAGGGAATTTAGCCGGCTCTACCGGTGTAGGCTTTAGGGTTTTGGGTTTCGGAGTGGTTCGGGTTTAAGTATAAGTTGCTCGATCCCTTTTAGGTATCAGAGAGGCAAGAAGCCAGTCATCGCCCTCATAAACATCTGTGAGCATGACGGGTTTAGGTTCTAGGCCCTCATGCTTTAGGGATTAGGGTTTAGGGTTTAGGGTTTAGGGTTTAGGGTTTAGGGTTTACGGGTCTGCAGTATTGGATTGTGTTGCATAGATCTGACTTGGATTCTAAGGGTAAGAGGCTGAAGGTTGACTTTTTTGGCTTGGGGCATTTGAAGCAGTGCTTGCATCAGTGGTATCCCATAAGGACCTCTGCACATATGGGGGTTTCCGAAAATAGGGGACCCTAATATGGTACCCTAAAAAATAGGATCCCTATTATAAGGACCCCAAAATAAGGTACCCTAACTTTCTGAAACTCCCATATGTTGCCGTATATGTACTTACCAAAGCCCTAGGTTTAAGGCCTAGCTTCCAATCGCAACTGCTATACGCTTCAGAACTGTTTTGACGGCGGCGCACGAGGGCCACGGGATTAGATCTGTGAGGCGATCGTTATCAGCAGCCCAGGCAGCCCGGAGGAAGGTGCAATTTCCCAAAGCTTGTAGCTGAGGTCTGTGTTTCCAATTTTGAAGTTTCTGCATCAGTGTTGACCTTGTGAACAGTGCTAGCTGCTAGGCTATGAGAGTTAGCTTTCGAGCTTTCCGTATCGAACCATGCAGAGGTGTCAAGCAGCCCCTATAAAGCCTAACTGTACTAAGCTTTATTGATCATCCCCAAGAACTGATTTAGGTTTAAAACCCGCAAGCAACCCTTTCCCCCAAAACCCAGGTAAACTCAAGCTCTTTCGCCCAAATGCCTACACCCTGGACATCTCTAGACCTTGAAAATATCTCAAAAGCCCACCGGCTCGACGGCTAGATCCCATATAGAACCCCTGCTTCACTTTTAGAAGGAGCAAGATAGAGGATCCCTTTATATAAAAGAAATCCTTAGAGGAATCCTTGAAGGAACCCTTCAAGTGCCCTTGAGAAGGGTTTAGGGTTTAGGGTCATCATTGAAGTCTCTGCTGCGTCGGCAAGGTCGGATTCCGGCCAGATGCCACGCTCGCCGACGGACATGCCGGTGGGAAGACTCAGTCGCAGTAGAACCAGGTTCCGGGTCCTGACCCCTAATCCCTCAAACCCTAAACCCTAAACCCTAAACCCTAAACCCTAATCCCTAATCCCTCAAACCCTAAACCCCAAGCCCCGCAATCCTCTCGAGCTTTACGTACTGCATTTGGCAAGAGAGTGTGCGGCAAGCAATGGACATCGCTGCGAGATGCAGCTGCAGGCCATTGCTGTCGTGACTGGGTTTCTGAGTGCTTCCGCTTTCCTGTTCTTGCTGACTGCACTCCTCTCTCCTGCTTCCTGGAGCCGAGTCAGCGCGTCACCTCCGCGCGCGCGACACCATCTAGCGGCTGAATACAGCTTGTGGCAAGGCAGCTTGCAGGTCCGCTTCTTGCCTGATCCGTCCCTGCCATGGAAGCAGGTGCCATCGCCTCTGCGGATTCCGAGCCTGCCGCTGTACCACCTTGTTCGCGGGCCTCCCGCTGTTCGTGTCCTTTGCAGGAGAGGCGAAGGTGCCACGGTTTGGGATGGAGACAAGATCGAGGTCACCAAGAAGCAGGAATTCCATGCCGAGCCCAGTCCACGGGAGGTGAGTTACGACCTGCTCGAGCAGGAGTCATCAGCATGGATGGCCTTGACCCTGCGCAGGAACAGGAAGCGCAACACAACCTGGAGTTGGCAGTCGACGTTGCCATTCGCAGCAGATGCTGTGGAGAAGCGAGGGAATGTGGCCGCAACTCTACAGTTTGCAGGACTTCTTACTCAGGTTTGTGCTTGGATGAGCATCAGAGGAAACCCTGGCAGCCCGCCGAAGGCAATATTTCATTTCGCCGCGCTGCTTGAACTGGGTGCTGCAGCTGCCTCATTGGCTGCTTTTGTCTGCTTTCTCTCACACTTCCACAACAGGCTTCACTTGCTCACCGCGGAGTTCATCTTTGCCCAGACCGACGGCTCGGTATTGATTTGGCCCGCAGATTTCCAACTGCAGCTTGGACCGTGTGCTGTTTTCCTGGCCACTGGTGGCACCTTGTCACTGCTATCTAGCTTCCTGCTGTTGAACTCCCATGCAGCGAAGCGGACACGAAAGGAAGATACCGTACAAAGAGTGCGACGACCCCCACTGCACCGGTCCAAGACATCCACTCGAGCCGCAGGTGAACTTCTCTTCGAGGCATCAGTGTTGAAGATGAAGTCACACGACCGTCGGATCGTTGCAGCTGTGCTGGTAGCCATGACCCTTCTTGCTCTACTCTTGGGCTTGATGGCATTTCTACTGGGTCGCGGGGGGGTCGAGGACGGCGTCAGCAAGGCTTTTCGTGGACCTCAAGATGGTGTTAGGCGAACTGCTTTGGTTGCCCAAGCTACTTAGTGGCTGAGTAGGTAACCTTTAACCTTTTGGGGCTCTTATAATCCTACTATAGTTCAAAAGGTTAACCTTTTTTGGGCTAGGGTACTCAGCCCCTAAGGCTATATCTCATGCTGTCGGAGCCTCGACGAGGATGCTCGGTCGAGGAATCGGGGTGGTCACCTCCTTTGCAGGAGCGGTGTTCCAAAAGGCTGCTGCCGGTACTCATGTTCTTGTAGCTGTGGTGACCCCGTGGCATCGGATGCTGCAGCATGCTGTGTTCCAAGCGTTTTCAGGCATCGGGCAAGCAGCAAAGTGGCTTGCAGATGCTGCAGATGCGGCTGCGCAAAGTCCATCTGCTACAGCCAAGGCAGTCCCGGAGTTGCGAGTCACACAGGAGGCTCATGGCAACTTTATGGAGCGGCTGCGTGGCGGAAAAAAAAAATAACCAGATCTGGGCATGACGATGAGGGTGGCCGACAGGAACGTGAAGACGAACTGCAGATGCCTGGTGAAACGGAGGGTTGAGTCCACTATGTCATCATGATCGAGGTGGATATGGCCCTGAGGGTTGGTTTTCTCGCCTGCCTCCTGAGGCTTTCCGATTTCTAACTGCAGAAGGAAAAAAGTGCTCAAAAAAAGAAAGCCCCTCAATCCTAAATGGGGGTTTCCGAAAATAGGGGACCCTAATATAGTACCCTAAATAGTAGGATCCTTATTATAAGGACCCCCCAAAATAAGGTACCCCTATTTTCGGAAACTCCCAAATCCCTCTCACCCGAACTGAAGAGTAAAACCCTTGTCAGCCCCTCGTCCACACTCCTTGCCGACTGCTGAGGTTCTGATTTGGTTGACTTCACTTCAGAGTGGGGCGTTTTAAGATTTAGGAGTTTAGGGCAGGGGAGTTTAGGTAGGGGGTTCTTGACTTCGGCGTCGCATTGCGCAGGGTTTTCGTAGAAGAGCTAGCTCCAGGGATTTTGCCTTGGAGCACCTGCATGGTAGCATGTTTGAATGCCCTTTAGGGCCTATAAACCTCAAACCCCTAAATTCCCCAAGCCCTACCTGATAAATCCGCGAGGCTAAGCCCCAAACGAGTCCGTAGTTTGCACTTGTGCGATTGGCATCATCGAACCCCGGAATTTTCAATTTCAGCCCCAAGCAAACCCTACCACGCCTGCTTTGTTGTAGGGGGGCCTAGACTACGGGTCTAGTCTCGTATTGAAATCGAGGTGCCGGGTTTGTGGTTCAGGGTTTAGCCGGGTTTAAGCAACAGGGTTCAAATCGAAGGACTGGGTTTTGGCAAGACTCCCCCATCCACTACGTCTTCCAGATGTTTTGATGTTCTAGCGCCTTTACTCTGCAATCTCACTATTAAGGTTTGTGGTTTAGGGTATACTGGGTCCTTGCTGGATATAATTTTACAATTTTGCTTTGAAAACCCAATAAGGGTTAAACATGATCATTTTTAATATAGCCCCAACAGGGAACCAGTATAGGGTTCAGGGTTTAGGGTTGAGGTTTAGGGTTTAAGGCTTCATGGTTCGGCGTATAGGGTTGAGGTTTAGGGTTTCGGGCTTTAGGAAGAGTGTACCGCGTTGGGACCCTGCCTCAACTCGTATTTCGAGGTCCCGACGGAGCTCCCGTCGCCAACGTCCAGCCCGCAGCTGCTTCGTTTTTGTTGGCCAAGCCTTCGGCTTGAGGTTCGAGGTTTTTGGGTTCAGGGTTTAGGGCCTTATTTGCATTGGTGCCATTCTTATTGTCAACTGTTTTGGCTAGTGCGCTACCATCGGTGTTTCATTATGTCCTGGCAGGTGCCCTTGGTTGCTGTTTTTATGAGAGCCGCGGCCACTATTTGGAATCATTTGCCGCCGTAGCCGAGTGAAGGAGCAGAGGTTGCTCTTTTCAGAGGCCGGCCTGCAGTTCTGCAGAAGTCTTCGGTTTTGAGCTTTGCAGCCGATACATGTTGTTCAAATGACTTCAGGCAAAGCTATAAAACCCTAAATCCTAAACCCCAAACCCTATATAGACTCTCAACCTAAGCTCAAGGACGAAGAGCTCGGGTGGGTGGAAGGCAGAATGCCGTTATCCGAAACGGTTTTCAGTACAGAAACCAATGGCAGAACAGTCTACAAAGCATGTATCTGATTCAGAATAGGCATTTAAGTTCGTCATCGCAGCAATACGATCCGTTTGTAGTGCATGTGTTGCGTAGTATACATACAGATACATATCGCTACATACCTGTATACAGTGTGTATATGCAGAATATGTGCGCGTGATTAGTGCTGCTCCAGCTTACACCAAAAACCGATTGTAAATGCCACCACGTTACAGTCTAACCCGAAGGTCGCTGAAGCCCAATCTGAGCTCTCATAACAATTTTCGTGTCCATGATGGGTGTGTCGTACGATACTCGCTCGACATGTTAACCTGCGGCCCTAAACCCAAACACAGGCCTAAAGCCTAAACGTTGCCCGACAAGACCCTGCTTATACACCCAAACAAGCTTCGGCAGACAAAAGTTGTGTTTTGAAGTCCGGAATCGCACGAAGTGTTTTGAAGTCCGGAATCGCACGAAGAGCCCGCAATACATCCGAGCCTGTTGTCGTCTCTAGTGTTGACAATTCCCGGCATAGCTTCTCATGACGACCAAGCAGACAACACACTTCTTGAACGTGATTCTTTCAATATGTAGTCTTAAGCGATTCTTTCAGTATGTAGTCTTGAAGAAGGAGCAATACTACGAATTGTCAAAGACTAGGCTTCCTTGCAACCTAAGCCCTAAATCCTCAAAAACAAGCCTAAACAGTGAGCCCTGAAGCCATAAACCCGTGAAGTCGCAAAAGCCTGAAAACCGAATAATGTAGGGGCCTAAATAATTACCAATACTATTTTGGGGACTCCTTATTATAATTATAGTATAATGGGCCCCAAACCCTATTCTAATTGTTAAGGCCCCTACACTATCCTCAACCCTAAACCCTAAATGCCCTAAACTCCACGAGCCCCCAGAGCCATGTCCTTCGCCACCGTTGCTCTGAGGTCGGCTGTGTCAGAGCCCATGCCGACTGCTGAGGCCCAGAAGCTTACGGGTGTTCTCAGGGTTTAGGGTTTGGGGTGCTTTACGGGTTGCTGTAAGTGTGACCAGGAGGACGAGTGTGAGCTTAAGGGTTTGGGTACAGGGTTTGGGAGGATGTTTCGGGCCCGTGGTTTAAGATTTCGTATTTTTTGAGGCTAGTTATGTGGTTTAGGGTGTAGGGATCCGGGGTTTTAAGGTGTATGGCCCTGGTCTTCAACTCAAGTGTTTTTGTTCGCTTATCATTGATACTGCCAGTCTCATTGCTGTCAATGTTGCCTAGGGCTGCTAGAACACCAGTACTATACGCGACCTTTGGACTGGAACGTGCAACCTTCATCAAGGTGATCCTGCTGCTGCTGCTGATGATGATCTTGATCGTCATTTGATGGTTCTTTCGTCTGTCAGAGACAGCAACTGGATGGATGTGTTGCTGCACGTGGTTTTGAAGGCTGCTTTGCTTTTTTGATAAAGTTGCACTATTGGTATCATGTTTAGGGCTGAGTGCGTGGATGCTAAACCCGAAGCTCTAAACCCTGAACCCTAAGCCGAAACCTTAAACCGAACCCTAAGAACCCTGAACCCTCAACCCTCAACTGCCTGACTGGCTTGACACGAGGAGCTGCTAATCACCACAGCACCTCCGCCTACGGCTCCGACGGCGCTGATGGAAGAAGCGTCCGGGACCCTGCGCTTCAGAGTTTCGCGCTTTGGGTTAAACCCTAAACCCTAAANNAAACCCTAAACCCCAAACCGTGTTTGTTGAGTGTTTTGGGGCTTTGGGATGTCAGGCGATAGGTCTCTAAGGCTTCCATTGGGGTGTCGGGTTTTAGTCTGTGGTGTCGGCTTTAGGTTTCTACTGATTCTAGAGCTGTGTTGATCGGGGTGTACGGTTTTATGGAGCCTTTTGCACCGGTTTTAGATTGGCTTGGGGGTGTTGCCATTTCGGCATTCCCAAGTGCGTAAGGGGACGGGCACAGGCACGGTAAAGTAAAACTCCCAACTCAGGAATTTGCCTTACATCATGCTAAGAATGTTTTTAGTGGAATGCTTTCCGATCATACTGACAAGCCTACGTGTTTTAAACCATCATATGAAGCCAATGGCCGATTCCTTGTTTGTGGAGTTTTTGGCCTTTTGGTAATGCTGAAATACCCGAAACTGATGAACACAATCCAAACTATTATGCTAAACCCTAAATCCTAAACC